CAGATGCCCCAGGTGTAGCCAGCCTGGGAGGGACCGCTGAAGGTTGGCTCCAAGGTGTGTCTAGCCCGTCTCACATAGTCCTGCCCCACTGGCACCTTCTAATTAATTTCCTTTCAATGTACCCAAATCTGTGCACTGGGGCACTAGAACAATATAAATATGAATGCTCTAGAAATATGTGCTAAAATGATCAGTAAAGTTATTATGAAGTTGGAATCCAGGAGTCACACTGTAATCCCAGGCTCCTGAAAATTTCTGAGATTTAAGAAGAATATAACTGCTTTCCTCTTATCCTTGTCTATGGCTATAAATATAGCTTTTAAGCCACTGAGTCATCTATGCTCAACAATCACCCAAAAACCTTCTTTCAAAACAGAGTACTCCTACTCTAATCCCATCATATGAAAATGAAGGTAACATTAGAAAATCATCATTTCAATTTACCTCAAAACTATTAACTTTGTTTAAAGGATAATGAAACTAACATTTGTTATGAGAAACAGAACATTATCACTTCAGTGTATGAAAATAATTAAGGATATATTTTTAAATGGTTGCAGAAACATGTCAGTACTGAAGGAAAACTTTTAGTTCTCAGATTCACATTTAGTTCTAGTTTTTACATGCAGGTGTCAGTACAGTATGATAGAAGATGAAAGAGCTCAAGGGATAAGGACTGAGAAAATTTTATTAAAATTCTACTGTGAAAAAATAATAATATGCAAAGAATAGTTATGTGGTAAGAAACCACCACCCTTATCACACAAGAAAAGAGAAAATAAAAGGTACATGTTCTTTTAAAATTTCCTTCAATAATTCTTACTTTTCTTTAATAAACAACTTCTGATATATCTACATGTTCAAGGTATTTACATTCCAACATAGTGAATGCTCTTTATTCTCCTTGCCCACCTTATTTTTGTAATTAATAAATTTTAAAGAACTCTAAATCTTCTGGAGAAATTTTTGTAAATTTTATGGCTGCAACAGTACAAGAGTCCATGGATTTTATACATCCCAATGGTACAGGCACAGGTGGAATAACCCCATTCTATCAAAAAGCTCATTTCCTCAACTAGATGAGGTGATGACAGACTAGAGCAGCGTGTAATTAGGCAATGCCCTGCCTCTCAATGAAATCTAGTGTTCAGCATTGGTTGATTAACATACTGCAGTGAATTTAAAAAAAAATAAACCTTGTAAAGAAAAAGCAGGCATCTACCTGTCTAAATGATGTTCTGAGTTTAACTTGGTTGCAAAAGCTTATCAAATAAAAAATACATAATTGACACCATATTTTCACTTTTCAATTATATATGCATCTAACTTATTTGATCATAAGAACAGTACCAATTTAAGCATTTCCTCTTGAGATTGTCCATAACTATAATTATAGTACTTCTAACAAAGTAGAGTAAAAGTGGTTCTTTAGCCACTTGTTTTATTAAAAGCCATCTGCTACAATAACACATTGGAAGAGAGAGAGAAGACAGGCAGTACCAATAATATGACTAGGATAAACACGGGAAGCTTTATCTGTTCATACAATGCTCAACAAACCAGAGACTTGCAGAATCTTAAAATGGTTGGGATTTTATTTATATTCCAAAAAGATTTTTGCATCAACTGCCAAAGTAAAATTGGCAATTTTTGCCCTTTTTGCTCTCTGATAGAGGTTCGAGCACATGCTCTCTGCAATTTATAAACTTGGCCTTCTTCTTTGCAAGTTTATACTGTTTTATATTTAGCCAATAGAGGGTATTTTTCAGTTCACTGATTTTAAAATCTAATATGCGTCACCATTCTAGCACAGAATTTAAATACAGGTACTCAAACATGTTCCTGAGTAGACATTATATTACTTGACAAAACTCTATTACATCAATCCTAGGTTATCAATTAAATATTCTCATATCATACCTTTTTGATACAACATGTATTCTGCAGTTCTTCATTTCATATGTTTATTCTAACAAGAATAAACCTGTATTACATTCTTCCCATTTAGCAAGGGACAAGCACTGATCCGTGGACAGTGGATATAGTTGGATAACTGGGGGAGGGGTGAGGGAAGGAAAGATTTCACTTTCTAAGACTCCCTGGATAATCCAACCAAGTCGCTCACTGACAGGTGAGTCATTACATAAACGCCCCCTTACAATGCACTCCCTCTCCTAGGCTGCTCAGACATATTTTATTCCCACCTGGCTCACCCAAGCAGAGCTGCCACTTCTTCATCTATATTCCACACACATGATTAAAATATCTATTATTCCCTATATCAGAATATACTCAACCTATCTGTGTACAGCTGGGCTTCCCCCAAAGCTACACTCTTCAAGAGCAGTTTGAACTCTTTTCGTCTACCTAGCCCTAGAAACCATAGAGAGTACAGTCATAAAAGGTGCTCAATAAAAATTCTGGGGACAGGTTAGAAAGGGTTTAGGAGGGGGGAAGGGGACATATGTAATATGTTCAAACAATAAAGAATTATTTTTTTAAAAGAGTTACTGAATAAATGAGTGTGTTAACAAATGAATGAAATTAATGACTGCCTTGCAATTTTGATTATATCAGACAGTCATTAGGAGTGTCTTTTAGAGAATATCATTTGACTTTATAATATACTTGAATATGCATGACCATTAAAATAATAACTCGTTAAATCACTACAAAAAAAATCAAGTTTTAGAATTCAAATATTACATGATATATACCAGCCAGAAAAAAAGACACACAAGAAAAGATAAATCTGACACTTCATGCTTCTATTAAAAAGATTCTTCTCCATCCCATCAGCTGTTATTCACATCATGGGTTCTTATGAAAATCATGTGACTGGAAGTTGTCACACATATTAAAGTAGAAGTCTACACTGACACCATAGCCATTGTCACTATTATTATGTTCATGACGTAATATCATATTAGTAAAAATAGTAGAAGCTAATCTTAAATACTTCCTACATGCCAAGCACTGTCTCATTTTATTTAATTCCCACAACAATCCCATTGTTTGCTTTACAAATGATGAAACTGAGGCTTAGAAAATTGGGATAGCTTGTCAACATCACAAATTAATATGTGGGAAGAGGGAGACTCAAATCCAGGAGGAAAGGTTGGTGCCCACTCTAGAGGGTGACTGTGGCTTCAAATTCTAAGCTCGGCTCCTTACTTACTAGCTTGGGACCTTGGGCACATTCCTTACGTGGTGCTTGGTATATACGGTAAAACTTTTATATATGAGCATACACTGAAGTGTCAGGAGTTCATAAATAATATTTTAATTTTTCCCCCAAAGTCTGAAATCTTGAAAGGTATTAATTAACAAAGCTTCTAGCTGCTACCCCATAAGCAGCCATTAAATGTAATTTGTTATTTATATGAAAAAGGGATCTGACATCCAGAATTATCATCTTTGCACATTTTTGCTCAGATAGCCCAATCAATAAAAACTTTTCTAAGCATAAACTTCTAATATATGTCTATTTCTTTCAATATTTATTCTTATTACACACCAATACTACTGTATTATACTATTTTTTTTAACATTCAGTCTCCAAATTCTCTGCAACTATTTGCACAAATTTAACCATATTTGAAATTCCTGATTTCAGATTTTTAAGTAAGAAGACATAAAGAGATTTTATAATAACACACATGTAGTTTTCAGTAGCAAAATCACAAAGTGGTATTTAAATTGCCAAATATGTCAAATGCCATTCTCTATAAGGAGTTTATTTCCACAGCAGGTACTCTGTCATCCATCATCATAACATTATTTCTTACTTGAAGGGATATATCAGTGTTTTTTAAACATCTTGCTATTAACATCATGTGACAGCAACTTTTCAAAGCGTTCATCTATCCTATGAGTTAAGGTTAAATTAAAACTAAATAACATATAAACCCACATAATCAAGCACATGAAAACTGTAATATTCTGAAAGTGAACGTATGAGTGTCAGCACCACTGCTATTCAGCTCCAAGCTGTGCAAACCCCTTCTTCTTTCAGATCACTCCTGAACCTCATGGAACAAGTGGCCATTGGGCCCAAGAACCTAGTGAGATCTCAGTGCCACAGCACAGCAAATATCAGCATAGCAAGTACCAATACAGCTTCATATTCTTGTATGTTTGTATTTGAAAAAATATGTAATGAAACTTTAGACATTGTCCCCATGGATCATGCACATGCCACTGTAGAAAACATTAATCATAAAAGATGGTTTAAAATCTGAATTTAGCGGTGACTGAATGTCCTAGATGCTCAAAAATATTTGTGGAAGGGAGGGGGCAAAGAAGGAAAGAAGTGAAGAAGGAATTAGAGGAGTTAAGGAATTATAAAAGTTGATAAATCCTGAGGAACAATGTCTTGGTTATAAAAAAAAATCACATTTATGAATTAAAAAATTTTTAAAGTTGCTATTATTTTAAAATCTACGTTTTAGAGCAGATTAAAAATTAGGAGCTGAGACCTACAAAGACAGTCTAGGACTGAGAATGGCTTTTACCATGTTTTAAAATCAGCCTTTTAGACCTAAGCAAAAGAATCTACATTGAATCTAGGGGCTCTGATGTGGGCAGCTGCCTACATCATTGAAGTGCAAGATTCCTGAGGCACAGAAGACCTTTTAATTTCACTTTAAGTTAATTTGATTTTAAATCTATACTAGAAGCCAAGTATATTGTGAACAAGAATAACTACATAAATCTTAAACAACAAAAAAAGGGGTTACTTTATTTCATTTAAAATATAAATATATTCCAATTTAGTAAATAGTTATTATAAAGTCACTCACAGGAAAAAATGAAAGCCAAGGCATAAAGTGTTCACAGCTGAATACGGTGTATTATTTCCACTATCCAGCAAGGGTTCCAAACAAAAGGCAGAATTATTCACTGTACCCCATCAATAGCATTTTGAAATAGGTCCAAAGCATTATTAGATTTACGATTTAAATGTTGTCCAGGAGCATAACATGCAAATAGCTTCCTACCTTTGTGATGAGAATTCGGTATATATCCAGCATTGCCTGGTTGTCATGGCAGCCTGCTAACAACTGCCATACCTCTGCCCTCAGAGCTTCAGGGACGCCACTCTTCACCAGCGGGTACAGTCCTTTCGGTCGTGCACTAAGGTTATTGTGCCTGAAAAAAACAAGAGAATAAAACATTCATACACCCCTCGCCACTGCTGAACTGCTGTTGTTATGAAAAGTATGTTCATGAGTTTACACAAAGTATAAGCCTGAGTCAAGAGAGTATGGGGAAGAGCATGAGGTAATGATAGAGTTTAAGCTCCGTGATGTCTTTGACGATGTTCCCTGATCTTATCTTCTTTATTGGTGAACCATCTTATTCTACCATCAAGGAAAGGTTTTTTCTTCCTCTCATTTACAAACATAATAAGCTTAACACTTTGGTTAGGAATTTGACAAACCTAGTCTCCAGATTTTATAATGAAGTCATAAACCTTCCAACCCTTGGATCTATAAATACACATCTTCAAATTAACTCAGGAGTCTCTTAGGATATGTACAGGAGATCATGACAAAAAAAAAAACAAAAACAAACATTCATTTGACTCTTAAGATAAAAGTAGTTTAATTGTTCTTATACTTTATTGTATATTTAAAAAAAAAAACTTTTCTATTGTTTCTTCTGGACTACCTGCCTACATATAATCTGATATGTATACTCAATTTAAAAATAGTGGTTTCCATATACCTACACTGACATGGCAGAATCTTTGCATTGGCAAGATCATTTATTTTATTAGCACATAACATCATGATTATCTTTTTTAAAAACTTAATTATAATAAACAGAGTGCCTTTTTTTATAGTTCCAGATTAAAAAATCCCAAAATGTAAAGTAATATAGTCAGAAAGAATAAAACAGACTGAGTTCTATTTATAATCAGTGATGAAATGAGTATTTCTAAACTCTACAGCCCCTTTTCGTGGTAACTGTCATGGTAGAGAAAGAAAATGTAACCCTTTAATAATGCTATCTATGTGTGTTGGCATATAGCATAAAACTGACTGCTCTGAGCAATGTTATGCCTGGAGAAATAATAAGGAAAATACTATGTCTTTCAAAAGTAAGTTATATAAGACCATATTGGGAAAGACCTAGATAAACTATCCAGCAAAGGTTAGATAAACATAAAGAGTATTTCTGAATTTTATTTTAACTTTTATGCTTTTAAAAATTCATTAAAATGTTAAGATATATGAACACATATTTAATTACAATAAATTATCTATATATATAAAGATGTAATATGCTAATAGGTCCTAATGGTGTCCCAGTCATGATTTGTCAACAAGCTGGAGCTGGTGGGCATGGATGGGGGCAGAAGTCTTGCCCAGCACTATCTTCACACTGTCTTGGAGGCAGAGGCCACTCACAACGGAGGTACATTCAGGCAGGAGCTGGTGGGTGGGGACACAGATAGAGGGGCCTGGCCGAGCTGACGCACAGCTTGAGAAAGCCCAGAGTGGACTCAGACATTTTTTCCTGGTGAAGGGACTGAAGTCTGTGTTCATGAAAACACCTTGGCAGCTGCGGCAGCTGGCAGTGGCAGCAGCAGCAGGGTGATGGGGGTGGTGCCTTCCCCTGATCAGCCCGGTTACCTCCTGCAGAGGGAGGCCAAACTGCAGCTTAGGCCTGATCCTGTAGGACATCCCCTGAGGGCTCCCAGACTGTGAGAGGGGGCAGGTTGAGCTGAGGGACCCTCTCACCCCCAGTGCACGAATTTCATGCACTGGGCCCTTAGTATAATATAAAATCTAACTAACTCAACATCAATTATGTAAACATTTTCATTTAAAAAAATAAATTTTTACCATCTTCCTAGCAATTCTCCCCAGGAATACAGGATCTTCTCAGGACAATCCTTAGATACATCACCTGTTCCACTTGAGAGTTCATTATCACTCTCTGCAGAAAAAAAAAAACCACAAAAGCAAAAAACATTATGAAAAAATGAATTCAGCAATGCAGCAGGATATAAAATTAACACCCAGAAAACAATGGCATTTTTAAAATATATTTTATTGATTTTTTTACAGAAAGGAAGAGAGAGGGATAGAGAGTTAGAAACATCGATGAGAAAGAATCATCAATCAGCTGCCTCTTGCACACTCCCTATTGGGGATGTGCCCAGAACCAAGGTACATGCCCTTGACCAAAATCGAACCTGGGACCTTTCAGTCCACAGGCTGACGCTCTATCCACTGAGCCAAACCAGTTTCAGCAACAATAGCATTTTTATACATCAATAATTAACTCTCAGAAATAAAAACAAACACACACACACACACACACACACACACACACACACAAACACAAATCCCATATACCACTGCAACAAAAAAATTAAGATATTTAGGGATAAACTTGACTAAGGAGGCAAAAGACCTGTATCCTGAAAACTATAGGATGCTGAAAAAGAGATATAGGAAGATATAAACAAGTGGAAGAATATACTGTATTTATGGATTGGTAGAATTAACAACATTAAAATATCCAAACTACCCAAAGCAACCTACAGATTCAAGGCAAGCCCTATTAAAATACCAACAGCATATTTCATAGATCTAGAATAAGCACTCCAAAAATTTATGTGGAATCAAAAAGATCCCAAGTAGCCACAGCAATCTTGAGAAAGAACAACAAAGTTGGAGTAATCTCAATACAAGATATCAAGTTACACTACAAAGCTACTGTCCTCAAAACAGCCTGGTACTGGCACACGAACAGGAATGTGGATCAACAGAACAGTGACCCCAAGCCATTATACTCAATTAATATTTGACAAAGGAGCCAAGAGCATACAACAGAGTCAAGACAGTCTCTTCAATAAATAGTGTGGGGGGAAAATAAAACTAGACTACCAACAGGTGCAAGCAAAAAAAATAAAACTAGACTACCAACTTATACCATACACAGGAGTAAAATCAAAATTGATAAAAGACTTAAATGTAAGTCATGAAACCATAAAAATCTTAGAAGAAACCATAGGCAGCAAAATCTCAGACATTTCTCGTAGCAATATATTTACAGCTGCATCTCGTAGGTCCAAGGAAACTGAGAAAATAAATGAAAATACATAAAAAATAAAAAGCTTCTGCATAGTAAAAGAAACAATCAGCAAAATGAAAAGAGAGCCCACTGCGTAGGAGAATATATTTCCCCATGATACATCCAATAAGGGGTTAATTTCTAAAATATAAGAGAGAACGCAAACAACTTAACACACGGAAGACAAACAATCCAATTTAAAAATGGGCAAAGGATCTAAATAGACACTTTTCCAAAGTGAGCATACAGAAGGCCAAAAGGCATATGAAAAAAGTTCAAAGTCACTAATCATCCAAGGGATGCAAATTAAAATGCCAATGAGATATCACTTCACATCTGTCTGAATGGCTATCATCAACAAATCAACAAACAAGTGTTTATAAGGATGTGGAGAAAAGGGAATCCTAGTACACTCCTGGTAGGAATGCAGACGGGTGCAGCCACTGTGGAAAACAGTATGGAGTTTCCTTAAAAAATAAAAAATAAATGGAATTCCCATTTGAACCAGTGACCCCACTTCTAGGAATATACACTAAGAAACCTGAAACACCAAAAAGTAAGAATGCATACACCCCTATGTTCATAGCAGCACAATTTACAATAGCTAAGATTTGGAAACAACCCAAGTGCCCATTAGCAGATGAGCGGATAAAAAAGCTGTAGTACATCTACAATGGAACACTACACAGCTGTAAAAAAGGAAGAACTCTTACCATTTGCAACAACATGGATGGACCTGGAGAGTATTACCTATGCTAAGTGAAATAAGCCAGTCAGAGAAAAATAATTATCACATGATCTCACTCATGTGGAATCTAATGAACAAAATAAACTGATGAATAAAATAGAACCAGAGACATAGAAGCACAGGACTGACTGACAGATTTCAGAGGAAAGGAAGGGGTTGGGGGATGGTGGAAGTGATTAACTGAGAAATTTATATGCATGTATGCATAACCCATGGACTCAGACAACAGAGAGGTGAAGGCCTAGAAGGGGCAGGTAGAGGGTAGAGGAGTCAATGGGAAAAAAAACATAAAAACAAAGGGAACATCTGTAATACTTTCAACAGTATATAAATTTAAAATAAATAAATAAAATCTATATGCCAGGCACTATTCTAAGTTTTGCAGGCATTATCTCATTTCATCCTTTAAACAACCTAATGCGGTAGTCACTACTAGTTTGCCCACTTAGAAGATGAAAAAACTGAAGTCACGAAGAGATTAAGTAACTTGCCCGTGGTTACCCTGCTAATAGAGAGATAGGATTCCATCTCAGTTTGAATCCAGAGTCTAACACTACCTCTCCATATAATTTTTCCTACCACATTTCTAAAGGAGGCTGGGCTTGGCATTAGCAGGTACCAGTCTGTGCAGAGTGCCAACATCTAGTACATGTTGGAGCCAAAGCTGAGAATGGAAAAGCCAGGCCAAACTATTGATAAGTTCCTTTTAGTCAGTTAAGATTACACCCTGTTCATATCTTATCAATGAATTTACACTACATTTTGCTAAAACTGGCTACTTATGGGTCTTTTTCTTCAACTAGACTATAACATCCTCAAAGAAAAGAGTCATGTCTTATTTATTTTTGTGTCCATAACACTTGGCCCACTAAAATTTTATTAAACTTTTATAAGTTTGATAAAACCTATTAAGGAACTAACTTGAACTACAGATGGCTTTCTAATGATCTGAGCTGATCCAGGAATCCTCTAAAAAAATAGAAGAATAAATCATTAATGTTTCCTTTAGAGGGAATATCCTGAATAGTAACTACATTTTTCAAAGTCTGTAGTACAGACTCCAAACGGAGAACACTGGCAAGTGTCAAGTATCTTCTTGGTTTTCACTGTGACTAGAGAAGCTCCATTTCCTCTGCATATTTATTAGATAAATGTGGCAAAATGAATTGTATTGCAGAAGTCAAAAAGCACCAAAACCAGTTTGGCTCAGTGAATAGAGTGTCGGTCTGCAGACTGAAGGGTCCCAGGTTCAATTCCAGTCAAGGGCATGTACCTTGGTTGTGGGTACATTCCCAGTGGGGGTGTGCAGGAGGCAGCTAATCAATGTTTCTCTCTCACCAATGTTTCTAACTTTCTATCCCTCTCCCTTCCTCTCTGTGAAAAATCAATAAATAAATATATATATATATATATATTAAATATATATATATTTAAATTTTAAATGTCAAAAAGCCTTTCATACATCCACATGTGGGTGGAGGGCCAAAGAATCTCAGCATAAGTGATCTATAACCAGTGTCTCTCCCTCTCCATCATTCACATATGTAGATCATTCTTATGAATGATATTCTTCAATGTGCACAGTGAATTCTCAATTAAGGGCATACCCTCTGAAGTAACAATGTACTCCCATATATGAGAATTGCTCTTCTACATGTTATTCCAATTTGAAAAGCTCTCATAATCTGATATATTAATATCCTATGAGTACATTTATAACTTAGAATATATTCCTTTCCTTTTTAAAAAATGTAATAAAATTCAACATACAAAAAGTGACTTACATGAAGGTCAGCTACTCCACTAAATTCAAACCACAATCCATACTTCTATTCTTACCCCTAAAATATGGCTGCTAGTCACAGTGAAAGGAAAGGCAATATGTTGCATCATTCTATGATTTGGGTTTATTATTTTACTTATGCAAAGTATCATCCTCTTTTTAAGAAAAGAACTAAGAATGAAACTCAAGTTTTCTTGCACAGTTTTAACCCCTCAACTGAATAACATGACCATTATAATTGTTCAATAGAAATCTTACTTTGTATAGCCTTCAAGGGAATCCAAATTCTAACCACTGGAATTCAACCTGTTTTCCTCTGAGTGTCTGTACCTCTAACATCTTGAATTTATTTTATTTTATTTATTTCCAGATCATAAGCTCTTAAAGACTGGAACTGTTCTTAAGCATACAATATCTGCTGCTTGTATACGACAAGCAGCAGAAGACTCAAAGGTCTCTTCTAATTCAAAGATTCACTAAAAATTGCAGCGGTAGTTATTAGCTTAGGGACTTAGTTTCTCAGTAAAAAAAAAAAAAAAAAAAAGGCCTGCTTTGTACTTTGTTAATGCTAATAAACTATTTCTCATACTAAAAAAAAAAAAAAGAAAAGAAAAGAAAAAAGAAAAAAAAGAAAAGAAAATATGCAGCAGCATTACCATCACCAGAATGTGTACATGACTACCATCTTCTAGTCTGAATCCTAGTCACTAAGTTGGCAGCGGAAGTGGGTTAGGGGGTCAGCGTGCAAGTGCTCCTAGACACAAGGGTTCTGAACCTGTGCCTATGGGACTAAAGTCCAGAGGACGCACTTCACAACACAGAGAACAGCTACAAAATGTTGATGATAGTCCCAGACGTGTACATGTTCGATAAAAGGCACCTTCTAAACCTTACCACCACTGACAAAGTGTAGCGTCTCCAGATTTCACTAGAGGTCAGTGTCCAGAATATTTTCATTTCTTCAGTCAGATGAAGCATGATTAAGATGTCTTCATCTATTATAGCATAAGTACCTGTGATTCGACTTATAACCATCAGGCCAAGAAAAGTGGGTCCTGGTCAAAGAGGAAGCAGGCCTGAGTGACCACAGTGTGACAGAGAAGGCACCGGGGAACTTCTAGGAGGAGGGGAGAGAATTCTAAAGGAAGGTAAATTCCCTCCCCTCAAATTAGGGTTATTTCTGATTTTCTAGGAGTTTTGATCTGTATATCCATGGTATGCTGGGATCCCAAAACATTATACACCTCTTAACAGATAAAAATCCAGAAGGTGGGGGTCTGAGTGGAAAGGAGGAGTGACTCCCGTCCCCCACACTACTGCAAAAGC